TCCATGCACATACGTTCAGAAGGGATTGCACCCACCTCCCATCGCATCGTCTGATCCTCCGGCCACGGGTCCTGTCGGTGGACATTCTGTTCGCCCTCCGACATGCTACAGGCTCCAATGGCATTCATGTCACTAGCATGCTGGAAAAGTCCCCCGGATTAGGAGGGTTCTGGTTCATCGGTGACGGTAACTGCACGATGTTTGTTCGGGTCAAGCCCTGCGCCTAGCTGAATGTTGTTAGTAGTCTGTTAACGTGCATTTATCATATTTATTGTAATAAATTAAAATTACAAAAATTACATATAGATCCCTTGAAATATTCTAATATCCAAAATGAAGCCTTGGAATTAATTAAAAATAAAAAAAATAAGAAATAAAAAAAAATAACAAAAGCAGGCGCTGTTCACGATCAACTGTCGTCCCGACCACCGGAGACTCGCCCGACCGACGCAATCACGATCAACTACCGTTCTAGCTGACACAATCCCGAATAAAAAAGGCATCCGCCATGGCCGTGGATGAGTGGATTGGAGCTTTCACGTCCGACCACCGTGACTGATCATCTTCCGCTCGTCTGACCGTCGCGGGCTTCTTCAGACACCAGAAGACCTTGTTTTGTTCCCAGATATCGGATATTGAGCCATTGCACGGGAATCGTAGAGCTCGTGTATCAATGGCAGATTTTTTACCGGGATATCGTGTCTTTATGTTCCTCAGTGGAAATTGATCGTGTGGATCGGCGGAAGATGTTGTTTTCCTCGTCGAGAGCGGCGGCGATTGGTTGTGCGCGGACGCCTGGCCGTCGGGCTGTCAGATGTGGATGCTAGACGGAGGCTACTGTTCTCCGATCGTCGGGCGTATGAGGCTTTCACCGGAGATGATCGCCCTGGTCGTGGATGTGGGTTGGTGGCTGGACATATTTTGCAGAGAGAAGAGGGAGACTGGAGATGGCTATACGAGAGAGAAGAGAGAGATTAGTGATGTGGCTTGTGGGTTATATTGTGGGGCCCAGCCGTAGATCAGGTTTAATAGATGGAATATGTACATTGACAATATTGTCCTTAATATGTATTATTTTTTAAATTTTTGTTAGTTGTTGGATGACTAAATTTACTGGCTATGATGTATTCTTATTTCTTTAGAATCTTTCTCACCGGAGCGCATCCCTATATATATGAATTGGTAGATTAAGACATTGAAAAATCTGATTAAAGACACTTTTTATATCTTAATCGAACATTGAAAAATCTGATTATGTCAAATGTACTAAAAGTTAACTGTATTCACTATTTTCAATTGGTAGATTAAGACACACTTGTACGATTATGTACATATTAATTCAACAACTATCAATGAGTCTGTTTTACATATAAAATCTGCACAAATTAATCTGTCAGGTAACATACAAAAATTATATATAACCCAAAGCCCGTTTCCCCAAAACTAAAAATAATGATTTGTAGGCATAGTTCAAAATTGGGATTATATCTATCAATCAGTAGCATTTAAATTAAGATATATCTTCAAGGCAAGATAAATGGCAAAGCCTTATTTTTTGTTCACAACAATAATATATTAGGGGCTCGTTTACTTTGAGGTATGGGATAGAGCAAAATAATCCTGGCACCTTTACAGGTCAGCTTTTAGTGCATCGTTTACATTGTGGGATTAAATATTGTGGAAGGAGTCACTTGTTTACTTCAATGGACTATGTTATAGGACACAAAGTCTTATGACTCTTATACCCTTCACAATAATCGATTGTGCCCGTCATTCTCTCTTGTGTCTTTTGCCCTAATTCAGAAATTCCAACCGAGGACGACGCACTTGAAGGGGAATTCAGAAATTCAATCCGCCCCTCTTTCACATATTACGGTCGAGCGCACAAGGACGAAGCTCTGCCATTTGTGGTTGCGTATGCTCACCTGTGTACGAAGTTTGCTCACTTTCACCGTCAAGGAAAGATCGAATAAAACACACCCCAGATTCACTTTACTTTCAGGCTAGGGTTTCTGGGAAAGAATCGAGCCACAAAAAAACAAATTACAATCGACGAATCAAAGCTAATCGACAGGTTTACAAAATAGGGGGATATGAAAATCACAAACCAATTGTTGGTTGCGTACCTTCAGGCTGGTCCAAATTGCTGCTAGCTATGGTGCTGCTTCTCCTAAGAGCCACGACGAGCAAGAAAGGAAGAACTGCAAAGTGATGGATTTTTTATTTTATATGCTACAAAGTGGTAAATACATTATCAGTAGAGGGCATTATAGTCTTTTTAAGTCGAAAGCTGAGGGTAAAATGGTCATGAGAAGGGCGGGATAAAAAAATCCGGAGGAGAGGCCGGGATTCATTTAATCGGCAAATGGCGGATTTTAATGTGGGACCTGCCTCCACGTATTTGCCAACATCACACATATCCCATCCGTTTCCTTTAATGTAAATATAGGATACCAAGATAAATAGAGTTATCTTGTCCCTTCCCTCAAAGTAAACGAGCCCTAAGTCTACTACAACTAAATGAATAACAACACAACAAAATAGCCAAAAACACCAAAATTTGAACTGAAACTCATCATCACACAAAAGGGTAAATTGCGCCGAAACTCCTTGTATTATACGAAATCTGCGCGTTATCCCCCTGTATTTTAAAAATTGCGCCGTACCCCCTTGTATATACTAACTGATGCACACGCTCCCTTGTTTCAATTTTTCCGTTAACGGCGTTAATTTTTTCGTAAAATTCCCGTTATACCCTTCGAATATAATATATATATACATGATAT